TTTGTGCAACTGCATAACCTTATTTATCTTAGGTACATGTGATTTTGATTAATAATGTTGGAAACTTGTTGCTTAAACTAAATATACCATACAGATATAGTTATTCAAATAAAACAAATATACAAGTAAAAAATTACATTTAAGGCTTGTAACACCCCTTTGTAGTTTTGAACCAAATGTGGAAGGTTAGGTATATACCTCCCAATATCCGATAACTGTTTGAGTTTGTTACCTTGCTTATTTTCTAGGTTATATATGAAACATATTTATCTAAGAATATCTTAATGTTATTAAATGTTTAAAATATTGAATCATTTTAGGTTTATTGAATAATAATTATTACAATTAATGTATTTTTATTTTATTTTTTTTTGATTTAACATAAAGTAAACTGTAAGACTATTTACGTATAGCTTATATTTACTATTAACTATACTACACCCAGAGTACCAGAATATTATTTAAATATTTAATAATTTCTTTAGCTTATTATTTTTATAGAAATATTCGATGTGATTTTACATCTTTATACGTTTATTGTARTAATATATTAGGTAGTTATTATACCAACTTATAAATTAATTATATGTTAATTATTTGTGATATTTTATTTTAGCTTTTAAAACAAGTGCAATGGGAGAAAGACGTGGCACTAAAGCATTAGAATTATGGTGTAAGCGAGTGACTCAAGGATACGATGGAGTGTCTATTGAAAATATGTCTACTTCGTGGAAAGACGGACTTGCATTTTGTGCTCTTATTCATCATTTTAGACCTGATTTGATGTAAGTATTTATTTTTGTATTAAACGTTATTATTTCATTTTTTCATTCATTTTTTACATTTCATGTAAACTTTTATGCAAACACTTATGGTGTACCTAATAAATACTTCTATATAGAATTATATACGTGGAGATTCTATTATATCAAATTCAGAAGTTTTGATATTATGTATAATAGTTACACATAATTATACTCGACTATTAAACAAYGCTACAGTTACAAATTACAATGCAAAACCCTTTTATATAGCTATAAATAAAATTKATATTTTTAGTTACCGATAAAGTAATACTTTGTAGCTCAATACTACTATTGAAGAGTACTGAGTAGTCATTTTCTAGGTTCTTTTGATATCTTATTTGCATTCAAATTACACAGAAACATTTATTTTAATTATTTAGGCTAATGGCGTTGCAGTTACATTATCCATATGCTCATGTAAAATAAAAGTTCCAATAGAAACTAATGCATCAACGTGCTTTTATATACTTTTTTTTACAAATGTAACTACTCACTTGTTAATACATTTAAAATTGGAAAGCATTATAGAAAAATCATTATATTTTAATATTGTATATTTTTATGTTTAGAGATTAATAACCTTTCCCTAGTCTACTATAGATGCTAATATTTTACTATCTTAATGTGTTAAGATGAAGTCAAGGTTGCTTAACTTCAGTATCTCGTATAATGTGTATACAATATATGTATATTGTATACGTTCCAAATCTTTAATTCGCTTCGGTTATTGTAGCATATTTTCTATGCCCATGAAATGAGTATTTTTCTCATCTTCTATTAAATAATAACTAAAAAAGATAGTAATAATAAAACACGCATGTAACGTAACAAAAACATCAGGGAGGTTTATGTTTGATACAAATAGAAGAGAAAATTGCCAGAGGAAAAATAATTTTTCAATAGGTATATAGAAAATGAAGCACACGTGTCATAAAAAATCATGACCGTGGAAAAAAATATTATTCTGTTTAATACTTGCAATTTACGTGTTCTTAAAAAGAAAAAATAGGATTTTACAATATGTCTACAAATCATATAATATTATGTTTTTCAGTGATTATAATAGTTTGGACAAAAATGATATTTACGGTAACAATGAGTTGGCTTTTCGAGTTGCTGAAAATCACCTGGGTATTCCTGCTCTTTTAGATCCTGAAGACATGGTTTGCGTCGAAATACCAGACAGATTGTCGATATTAACTTATCTCTCACAGTTCTACCAAACTTTTTCATCACAAGGTAATTATTAGATTAAAATATTTTACTATTTTTTCTTCGATGTTCTTAAAGTATGTAATCATTATAATTAATGATATTATAAATTATTTATTAGAATAATATTAATAATAGGYATATATAAGACTTTTATTTTGATATAGTTCTTTGTATTGATGTTCGTGTATATTTTTTGTAGTATTGTATGTCATTTTCCATGTCATYGTTAAGCTTTTAATTAAACTTTGATTAAACCAGTCACATAAAATGTTTCACAGTAAAAATGAAAAATAAGCTCGTTAATACAACAATTTTAATAATTATTCGAGTTTTATATTTCTACAGTTCTACACTACTACTTCGAGACACAAGTACTGCCTAAAAGTATTTACATAATCTTTTTCGAAATTGCCAATTGTTTTTTACTACTGGACATTTATTGTGCATTGAATATATAGAAAAAATAAAATAAAATCAAGTCATGACTGTAATTTTTTTCTGATAATTTTCTTAAGTAGACTCTTCCACACTGCATGGTAATTTGAAGGCGGTTCATGCGTGCACGTTATGTTTAGCTTGCCGGAAATGGTGGCAGGAAACCTGTTTCTATCAATTTTATCGGGTGCGTGTGATAGACTTGTTTGAA